TTTAAGCCAGAAGTTAAAGGTTCTTTAAGAAACCTTATTTCTCTTTAATTATGATTATCTGTGTGGGAAACGTCTGTTATGCAGAATAAAAAGTGGCTGATTTATGCACTGGTTTCCTGTTCATTTTATCTGTAGCATCCTGTTCTTCCTAAAATTGCATTACTTCTACAGGCTTTAAAGAAGAAATACCTCTTTAATTAATATTTCCTTGAGATTACTTAAATGGTTAGAATATAGTGTCTTAGAAATGTAATTTACTGGAGACACTTTGGAGATTTAAAAGCTTTCATGCCATTTTCTACAGTGTTCTTTATATTTGCAAAAAATGTTTTACAGCCTTTCTTTTTCCTGCCTAATAACATTTTGAAGGAAAGCTCTTTTTTTGAAATGAGGTATTGCTTTATAAAACAAAGAGGTCTGGTGAATACGCTAACTACTCATCAAAGATCTCTTTAAAGCAGCACTTTGATTCATTAGCATATCATTACATTTTTTAATACTAAAGCAATGAATTGTAGATGTACAAAATATTAAAAGTGTCGATGGAGAAAAAAAATAAGTATTTTCTGTTCTCCTATTTTGTATTACAAAGTAACCATTAAATGCTTGGTTAATAGATCCAAGGCAAAAAAAACCTGCAGCAAGTCCTCAAATGCCTTTGATCTAAAGAACGTGTTTGTGCTGGGAAGCAACAGCAGTGTTCAAAACTAGAAATTCGCTTGGAGGTGCAGAGAGAGCTTATGTCCCGTTCCCAATCTGTATGCTCTGCCCTGTGGAAGGGAAGAAAATGCATCCTGGATTTGAAGAGCGTTACCCAAACCTGGTTGAAATCAGTAAATCAAAGTAATATTTGAAGTGCTCAAATGAAGAGCTTATACAATAGATATTCATATTACTGTTACAGTGTCTTTTCTAGGTCTTACTCTACTTGAGATCAGCTTGAGTTGAACAGAAAATGAACAAACCAGACATTAATGCAGTTTTGTGGACAAGCCCAAGCTTTGGTATTGAAAGTATTTCTCAGTAAGGTTCCTTTTAAGCTTTTTCCTAAACCAAGCGCTTGCCTTCACACTGAGCCTTCATGGAATCCCAGAACACCAGGTTGGAAGGGACCTCAAGCATCACCTGGTCCAACCTTTCTAGGCAAGAGCACAGGCTAGACAAGATGGCCCAGCACCCTGTCCAGTTGGGTCTGAAGCGAAGTCACTGGTGGAGTTCAAGATCTACAGCAGCACTTTGAGGGCATGGTCACCCCCAGAGGCCTGCCATGCAGTTTCTCCTCCAGCCTCCACCTTTGCGGAGCAGCCCAGCCTCACCTTCTCTTCAGCTGGCCTTGAAGTCTCACCTAAAAGTGCTGCTGAGCAAGTAACTCCTGCAGGCTTAGTAAAACTTTCTCACCTGCCTTCCAAGTCCCAGTACTTTTGTCAGCCCCCTTGGAACAGCTGCTGGATTTAAAAAAAAAAAAAAAAAAAGTTCAAGGTAACTGAGGCTGTTGAGCATGGAGAAGAAGAAGCTGAGGGGAGACCTTATCACCCTCTACCACTGCCTGACAGGAGGCTGTAGCGAGGTGGGGGTCAGCCTCTTCTCCATGGTAAAAATAGGACGAGGGGAAATGGCCTCAAGTTGCACCAGGGGAGGTTTAGATTGGACATTAGGAAAAATTTCTTCACAGAAAGGGTTGTCAAGCACTGGAACAGGCTGCCCAGGGATAAGGTCAAGTCAAGTCCCCATCCCTGGGGGTATTTAAAAGATGGGTAGACGTGGTGCTTAGGGACATGGTTGAGTAGTGGACAGGTACAATTGAACTCAGTGATCTTAAAGGTCTTTTCCAACCAAATGATTCTGTGATTCTAAAATAATAAACCAAAACTAATCAGTTGACTGTCTTTAGAAGGGGTTTAGGGCCTAGAAGTCACACTGGCACCACAGGCAGGAACAAGCTGCATCTGGCCTAATGGGAGGAAAACGAAGGTTTGAAACCCAAGTGTGAAGCATCCAGGTGCTGCTTCACCCTGCACCTTACGTTTTCAGGCCTGGCAACTTCTGCAGTTGCTGCTGAAGAAATCTTAACTTATCCCCCAACCCAGCATTTTGGCCACCTCTTACTGCATTTCTGCACAGCTCCAACTTCAAACTTGGCGAGCAGGATGAGGAAAGAAGGGCAGACAAATACACTGCAGTGCTTTCTTGTCATCATAAATATCTTTATTGTGAAAAATACCATAAAATAATTCCCACAGTTCTAGAAAAAACAGTTCTTGCTTTTTTAGATTTACGATTTTCTATAAAGACATTTTATAATTTGAAACATTTGATAAATCTCTGGCTAGCTTCAACTTATCCTTCTTAAAACATAAAACTGCTACTTTGAGATTGGCTGAGGGCAACAAAAAAAAAATTATTCTCCCATTTTTTTTTTATTGTTTTATGGATAAAAGTGTGTGTATTACAGAGCAAACAAACAATACCTTGCAATAAGGCACTTTTAAATACAACTAACCTGCTAGGCTATACTGGCTGGTTTCCAGCAAAGCTCCTACAAATCACAGCCCTAAACAGAAGAATAATTCTTATTCCAGACACTGGTTTGAAAACTGAAACGATAACAAGCTTTATTTTTTTTAAAAAAGTTTAAGCCAACACATTTTCTGCGTATGCCACAGGTTTGAGCTCTTAAGTTTATAATTCACTTTGAATCCTTTTTAATACTGATTTATTAATACATCAGCATTAAGTATGTGTCAAGGAAAATACGTTCCCCTCCCACCGGCATTTTAAAACAAGTTGGAAACGAGTTTATTAAAACTGAAAGAGAGAGTTCAACAGAGGAAGTTTGCATCTACATAGGGGCCCATTACTGTAAAGATGCTTCATGCACATCTCGGGGCTTACAAGCTAACGAGACATTTAGGTCAATGTTCAGTAACTGAACATTATTGCACTACAGACACCCACTAATAAATAAAAAGGCGGATTCGGCTTCCTTGTGCGCCGCTTGCACCCTTACCCCCCCAGTGCGTCACCAGCGCCTCATTTGCTGAAGTGACGTCAGGAAAGGCACCACCACACCTGGGGATGCTCTCGTTTTATCACCCCTCCGTCCGTCTCTGTGTTCAGAGGGACCCTGGGCTGACAGCCGGCACCTGCTGCCTTAAGCACAGCACCGGCGCCAGAACAGTCCTGGCGCTCAGCAGCTGCCTGAGAGCAGAAAGCCTTGCTCCCCGCTGCCGGGTTTTGTTTTCAAGACAGTGTCTTCCGCAGAAGGAATCTATGAACAGCATTCACCCATCAATCCTCTTCCTTCCACGGACTACTTTCGAGCCTTTTTTTTTTTTTTTATTCCTTAATATGCAATTTTCCCTTTCCCATTCATTCTCAAAATAACCACCATCCTTTTTTCTTCCTGACTGCTTCCGGCGCCTCAGAGAAACAAATGCACGCTGCTCTAACATCAGTGCCTTGTATAAGTAATGTACTCAATGAGGGACCACCTTATTCCTTCCCTTAAAAAAAAAAAAAAATAAAATAAAAATTAAACCCCAGGAAACCACTTTCCCAGCCTTTTTAAAAGAGAGAAGGGAGAGGGACGAGAAGAAAAAAAGCCGAGCAAGGGTAGCCCCTTAGAGGATGTCTCTCTCCCAGCGCCTCGCTGGCACGCAGCCAGAGCTGTCTGTGGTGGTTGTTGCGACTCCCTCAAGCCGAACACCACGCCCCTACGGACAAACGGTGACACACTGCTTACACCCGTCATTCACTATTAATTTAAAGCCAGCCCCTTTTGTATTGACCAAGGCAACATGAAAGCGTTTATAGGGAGCACTGGCACGCCAAGGCGTGCA